AGAAGAGCTAGAGGCACCCGAAGGTCTGACAGGCTGRCCCTGCCCTGGTGCGACTGGATGAGACTGGATGACTGGGGTCAGCGTGGTCACTCGCTGTCTTCATGTGTGTGGACAAATGGGGGGACCCTGCAGCTGAGTGTACTGAGCACAGTAAAAGAGAGAAAAGGTAGAAATGGGAGCAAGAGCTTGCTGACAGGTCTGTMCGAAAACGTGCACTGTCTCTGTAGGTAGTGAGCCCCATCACCCCAAGGGTGGAAGCTGAGAACGGTCGTATGTATCCGAGAGGCTCCGGAATCCTGTGCCCATGTCCCTGTGCCCAGACACGGAAGCCYGCACAGCTGCAGGGCCTGGCATCTTCCTTCCCCGCAGCTGCTTCTAGTGCGAGCTCCTAATGCGAGTCAAGATACCCAGTCTGGAATGGGCTCCCTCAGGAGGCTAGAAACCCAAGTGTGAACAGCTCACTAGCTGTTCCCTTTCCTGGGTGGGAAGCAGGAGCTCCTGGAGCCAGCACGTGTGACCCTCCCACCCACCATGGTGGCCCTGGAGGGAAGGGGCAGGAGTCCCCTGCTCAGTGGGGCTGCTCTCTGCCAACCAGGCTCCTGAGTGTGAGGAGGAGGACCCGCCTGCCTTGCTACATCTCCCTCCACCTTGCCAGGCCACAGGACTCCTTCACACCCCACCAACCAAACCCAGTTCCTGGCCAGGGAACACCAGGCATCCGGCAGAAAACCACCCCCCACCCAACCCAGCCTGTCTGCTGTGCTTGTGCGAGGGTGTATGTATGGTGTGTGTGGCGGGGGACCAAGCAAGCAGGCAAGCTAGTTGGGCTCTGTGTTCCCTGGCCCCAGCTTGTAAGTGTCCTGGGGTCTCTAACACCAGGCTCTCGGATCCTCAGCACTGTGTTCTTTGGAAGGGAGCAGCTCACAAGCTTTGTGCACATCCAGAGCTTGGTCAAGAAAGCCAGGACTTCCCCAGGCCCGGGGCCCCCAGGGTACCCACTCTCTTTGTTATGTGGATGTGGGGACACCCTCCATTTGAGTGCAGAAAAGTGGCCCAGAACTCCAGAGTAGGGGGTGTGGGGCATCTGTCAGCAGGAGGCGGCAAAGGAGAGTGGCCAGGGTTGCCTGGGAACACGAAGCCCAGGCCTAGCAGGGAACAGGGCTGCTGAGGAGCCCGGAACCSGGAACGACTCCTCATCCCAGGGCTAGTGTGACCTCCCCAAGTTGGGAAATCACTTCACCTCTCTCTGCCTCAGTGTCAGCGGCCCTTGGGAAATGAGGACCCCCCCACCCCAGAACCCCAGGGGTTTCTGGAGCTGTTGAGGGACACAGTACAATGCAAACCCAAGTTCCTTACAGGTGAAGGTCACCTGCACCCTGCAGGTGAGGAAGGTGAGCCCAGGGATGTGGCCAGGCAGGTGGATGACATTGGCAAGTTCTAGAAAACATASAGTCCAAGGAGACCACAGTCTTTCTTCACTCTTTACTGTGTAAAAATAAACTCAACAATTCATGTCATTTCAGCATGAAAAAAAAAAAAAAAAAGCAAGAATACCAGTAGAAATAGTGCATTTCTAGAATTGCTGATGGGAGGTGGCAGGTCCCATGGTTTTGACCCATTTGATACCCAAAAGGCTGCAAATTGTATGAAAAATGTACAGCTTTGGTTAGCAAATAATGAAAAAGTAAGATACATCGATTCTCTTTCATATTTTACATTATATACATTATGACAATATCAACTTCAGGGGGTTTGCTTTTATTTTATTTTTTTGGCAAATAAGACAAAATTGGGACTCTCAGTATTGGGCTTTTTTCTCCTCAATGACTTGTTCCCTTTTAACAAATTGCACTGCACTTAAGTCCACTGTGCACAGAGGCGAGACGATTCCCAATGTTATTTGAATAAATTTCCACACTGTGTTTTAAGAGATGATACCACAACTGCTTCGAGCCATGTTTCAGTTGCCACAGGCTTTCAAAGGAGTCGATCCTCTTAATGTTGACACCATGTAACCCTAGCTGCATCTATCGAGGTTAGAACTGATATTCAAGTCCTCAATTTGTTCTATTCGACCAGTAAGCTCCAAGACAAAGGTCCCACCATTCACGACTTTTTTGACCTCCTGTCCCCAACAGGCCTTCAAGATCAAGTGGCCTGCCTTGGAACTCACTGGAATGACCGTGAACCTCAGGCCTGCACTCCCTCCCCTCACTGCCCACAAGACACCCCCTTGGTCTCAGGTCCCAGGGCTGGTGACAAAGTGATTTTTGCAGTCTTAGAAAATAAACTGGGAATCTACAAAAGGAAAAGAAAGCATACAAAATGTATCTCTTTCTTCCAAAATACACGCTTTCAGTCCTACATTTTGGTGGAGCCTGAAAGTGTTTTCCAGGGAGATATAGGTTGAGATAATTTATAGGTTTGCCCTATTCTTTCATAAAAATACTCTTGTTTGGTAATAAACTTTTTCTTCTACAGTAAGAGAAATAATACTGTGTTATCAAAAGCAAGAAGGCTTACGATTCAAGTGGGATCTCAGCCCCCGAGGGCCCGGGGGCCTCCTTCGGTAGCGGTCCCACCCGGACACCCAGGGAGCTGTCGGACACCAGCTGGGCAAAAGCAAACACTGTGCCGACAGTGCTTTTTATCTTCTTATTTTATAAAATGGCTTACCTGAGAGGCATGTAGAATTCAGTGCAAGAGGGAACATCAGTCAGATCAAGGAGGCAATGGGACTGTGGACTGGATTTGCGGCTGTGTCATCTACCTTTCTCGGGGCCAGCAAAGTGCCAAGTGTGAACACAGTGAGGGAGTCGAGGGGCTTGGCACTGACTCCAGTGAGGGCCGGGCGGGAGCTAAATATCCGTGTCTGGCACCATGGGTGCATCAAGGGAGCGGGAAGGGAAGGGAAGGGAAGGGAAGGGAGGCGTCGGGAGGCTGGAGGGACAGAGGTGTGAGTTGGGATGCTCTGCCCTCTCTAGCTAGGGCAGAGGATGGCTTGTGGTCCTGGACGGACAGCTCCCACCTTGCCCACTGTGGGCAGAGGTGGTTTGGGGTCCGGTATTGGCAGGGGCAGGGGCTGGTGGAAGGTGCTGGCAGGAGGGCACCTGGCACAGCCGGCTCTGGGCCTTGCCCACRCGGGGCTCCCAGGCGGCTGGAGTGAGGGTGGGGCTCCATCTGCTCTGGAAAGGTGATTCCAGGCTCTCTTGCTCTCTCCCAACCACGGGTATCATTCAGGCTCGTTCTCAGCCTACATGTTAAAGTTGCTTCTTGGTGTGTTTGGGGGCGGGGAGGAGAGGGGAGCGCTGGCCTCCCTCCTGACCTCCACGGACACCCCTGCTTGCTGACCCAGCCATTTTCAGTAGCATGGGTGGTCAAAGAACACTGGGTGGCACTCAGCACACAACACAGAACCGGAGAAGTCCATGCAGGCAAGGGAACACACATCGGACCAGGGAGCAAGGAACACGCCACCCGAGGAACATGCAAACAGAGAAGATCCCTGCAGATCCGAGAAAGCCACGACCCGACGGGCACTGAGGAAGCACGAGTATCTAAAAAAAGCCACTGTTGAACAAGAACACACAGGGCGGTGCCGGCCCGCACCCTCTCGGCCAGAGTGATGCAGTGCGGAGCGGCAGCCGGTACCGTGCAGACACAATGAGCACAGCGACAGAGACACCAACACAGACACACAGATGCACGGGTTTCTGACACAAGGCAGGCCTGCGCTGCGGGAGCCAGGTGCCCCTGGAGGRACAGCAGGCAGGGCCTGCTCCTGGGAAGAACGTGTGCAGCTGCAGGCCAGCCAGGTGGTGTGCAGGACTTCTAGACAGACCCGCCTGCCTCTTGCCAGTCAGATCCCTGGAGCTGGCCCACCAGCTGGCAGGACCAAGCAGGGGCTCCCCATCCTGGGCACGACCTCCTGGGTGTCTGCTCTAGGTCACTCACACACAAGCACACACATGTGCACACACACATGTGCACACACTCACACACACGCACACTTTTCTCCCCTCTTCGGAAGGATTAGAAGGGGATGCTTGTGCTGCTTTTCATGGGGAAAAGAAGCCGGAGGTTCTGGGTGAGTCAGGTCTCAGAGTCACAGGCCAGTGGCAGATGGGGGGCTGCTTAAGCCCTGTGAGGAGAGGGTGGCAGGCCCTGCTCTGGCCAGGACTGGCTCCATCTGAGCGGTCCCTGAGCCAGCTTATCCAGGCCTGGGGTGCTGGGAGGGCTATGGCTGTCAGAAGTGCCAAGGGGAAGACCTTCTCATGGACCGGCTGGGCTGAGTCTCTGTCGCCTTCTGGGGCTGGGTTCCTGGTCCAGAGGACACCACTTGAAACCTCTGTCTCCAACTACCAGAGGTGGGGGCCAAAGCACTAGACCTCTGAACCTTGGGGCTCATGGGACACTCCTCTCTCAGGGCCACCTGCGCTCAAGCAGGACAGCATGGGTGGCTGAAAGGGAGTAACAGGTCCCAGCTCCACAGGATGCAAAGAAGCAGGGAGGCCCAGGAGCGAGGCCCAGTCCTGGGGTGGAGCCACCCAGGGGGCATGCAGGCCAGACCCCCAGGCCCACACTGCCCTCAGGTGAGACAGCAGGGATGCTGACCAGGCAGGGTGAGGGAAGGACTGGGAGGCGATGCCACCCCAGGACAGGAGCCTCCCACCTTCAGAGAGCATTCACTTCTAATATGGAGTAAAAACTCTCTGTAGAAAGGTCCCCCTGGCCTTGGAAAACCATTAAAACACATTTCCTACATCACTAGAGAGCTATGCTGCTCCAAAAGAGGTCTGCAAACGAAGACAGATGTGTGTGCTGGAGAAGCGGCACCAGCCCCAAGGCACACAGGAGCGGACAGAGTTGGCAATTCAGAGTTCTGACCCATCACGAGGTTTCCCAAAGCCACAAGGAAAGGAGGAAACCAGATATTCATTCTAGAATGAAAGTCCTCCCCAGCTACACACACACACACACACACACACACACACACCCCTTCACCGACTTCTGCACTGTCCAGAATGCTGATGTCACCTCTTTCACTGTGAGTAGGGCACGCCTGGGAAACAGTCGGGGCTCCTAGGGAGAAGTGGGGTTCCTTAGGAATGGAGGAGAGCCGGGACTGCTTCCTGTGCATGAGAAGGGCAAAACCAGGCTGTGTGCGCATGTGTGTGTGCGTGTGCATGTGCAGGGGCCATGGCCTTGATTCATTCCTGGGGAAAGGGAAAGAAGAGACGATGGATCATCACTGCACAAGCAGGGTAGGTGGGTGTGGGGCCGGGGCTCAGCCCTGCCGAAAGCCGTCAGTTGATCTGGCGACAGGCCTCGAATGTCCACTTGGTGGCTCCGCCAAAGATCTCAATGTGGGACTCAGCCCAGGCGATGACATTGCCAGAGAGGGCCTTGGTGCTGCAGGTGGCCAGGTTGTATACTTCCCCTGGGGTCAGCTTGCGGTCCCAGATGTTGAAATGGGCCAGCTCACCCACAAATGCTTGTGTGGCATCAAACCCGCCACCCAGAGTGTCCTTTGGAGAAGAGCAGGGGATGAAGGTTGAGGGTCAGCCAGATGATCAGGGACCAGGTGGAGGGGCCTATCCCTGGGGGATGAGTCTGGGTGTCTGTCTCTCCTATTTGGGGTTGCTCTGTCTGTCCTTGGTACCCTTCTGTTTCCTGGCCCTGAGTCTTCAGCCACACATCTGTCAATCTCTGAGGGCAGCTCGGGAAAAGGTCTGGTGGCCACCCCCTCTGCTTTGGTTGGGGATCTCTGCTTGGGGGCCTCTGGGCTCTGCCCATCCTGTCCCTCAGCCAACAAGTGAGGGGTCAGTGGGGCTGTGGACAACTATGGCAACAGAGTCCCGGGGCCCTACTCAGACCACACTCTTGGCCAGCTCCAGCTAACTACATTCCCCCAGGAACAGAAGCCCTGTCTTCTCCACCCCTTCCCCTCCCTCCCAGGTGCCCAAGGGAGGAGAGGAACCACTTCTTGGGAACTAAATTATTCATTGTTAAAAGCAGAATTGGCCTCCCCATGCCAAAGAGAGCCTCACTGGAGCGCTGAGAGGGCTGGACTCAGAGCTGCTCCTGCCCCAGGTCCCTGAAGAAGCCCCCAGGCCGKGGCTGGGCCCAAACCCCAGCACAACTACTGCCCTCCTACTTCTCCAAATCCCAAGGCGCTGCCCCGCCCCCAGGCTGCAGCTCTCTCCCCTCCCCCACCAGTACCTGCTCCTGGCCCAGCACCAGCACGCCCTGCGGCTTGATGGGGTGGTAGGGTGCCAGGTTCTCGCCATTGCCGCCCTGGGTGCCGTCCTGGTAGGCTTCCCAGACCCCGTCCCGGGTGGTCCAGGTGACGCAGATGTGGTGCCACTTGCCATCATTGATTACAAAGGGCAGCTTGGCCACCTGGGAAGAAGCACGAGCACACCACGCGATGGTTGAGGACAGCTTTCAGAATCAGTCATCTCACAGGGCAGCTGTGATTTTTTTTTTTTTCCCTCACTTCACTTTCAAAATACAAATCGAGAGTCTTTCCTGAATTCCTCTAGCACCTTCCCCTCTGAACTTCAGCATCCATCAGCCCCTCCCACGGGTGGGTCAGGGAATCCCAAAGGAAACACAATGCCTTGCCAAGGAGCCCCGAGATGCATCTGGGCACACACCACCTCACTCCTACGTGCCCTCCTCCCTCCTGGAGGGTCTATAAAACAAGCCCTCAAGGGAGGGCAGCATCCCTAGCAGTTTCCTGTTGCCTCCCCCTGCCAGGCCTCTCCTCTCTTCCCGCCCTCCATCTCCAGGTGTTAGTCCTCAGGTCTGCACCCCAGCCGGCCCCTGCAGAGAGCCTGGGGGATGCTATGAGGGGATGACACTGTGCTTTCAAAACCAGCCTGGCCACAGACTCACACTCCCCCTCTCCGCTCCAGGCAGGGGATGGCGCAGCCACAGAACTTACCGGCCTCCCACTTGGGGAAATGGAGCCCAGAAAGCACCACCCTCTCTGGGGCACAGCTTCAAGATGAGGGGCCAGAATCTGATTCCCAGCTTTACCCATTTACTACCACGAAGGACATGAAGATAAAGGGGTTTGAAAGTTGGCAGCTAATTCCCAGGCAAACGAAGGGGACAAGACGGGGAAACGGTCACTAGAGGGAAAGGTCTGCCCTGGAACAGGGAACAGGTGGAATAGGCCTTCTCCTGAGAGTAGGGGGCTAAGTGGGGGGACAGATGTGGACTCAGAAAGGATCTCCAGAGCACCTGGATTCCCCACCCAGGGCACCTATGGACCACCAAATATGGAGAAGCCCAGACAGTCTTAGGCCCAACAGCGGAGGAGCCAGGATCACATCAGCAGGATGGATGTCCCCATCGCCTCCCCCCACCCCCACACAGGAGGCTTCTGTCTGGAACATTCCAGCTCTCCCTATTCTGGAGCAGAGAGCAGGCGAGGGTACCCCTCCCTACTTCTGTCCTTCACCTTCTGCCTCCCCCAGTTCCACTGGGTAGAAGGGCCACAGCAGCATCTAAGGCCACCTGACAGAGCTGGGGCCTGAAGGCCTGGTCCTGCAGTCCCTACCTTGTCATTGATGAGGATCTCCATGGGGTTGTTGCCCCACTCGATGAGGACGAGCTCATTGGCCTGGCCGGGCACAGCGTAGGAGAAGGGCGTGCCCACGCCGGGCGCAGCGCTGGACTTGAGCCACATGCACACGGTGAAGGCGTACATCTCAGGCAGGCTCTTCTTCACCTTAGCGTACATGTAGTTGGTCCGCAGCGGGAATGTGAGCTGGAACTTGTCTCCAGGGCGGTTATCTTTTTGACCTGGGGAGGACAGAACCCAGTCCGACACCTTGACCCAGGGCTCAGCTGGCATCTGAATTGTGTTTGGTCCCCACCAAACCCTGTGACGCAGACAGGGCATGGGGCCAGATGGTAAAAAAGCTGACCCAAGGTCTCTGCACTCCAGGCCTGGCTAGCACTCACTTCCACATGGTGCCACCCTGGGGAGGTGGGGTGGAGGGGGAACACAGGCTGGCTGTGGGCATCCGCCCTTGGGCTGCCAGGTGGGCATGGGAAAGGCAGGGCCAGCCTTCAGGTCGGTGGGATCCTGTCAACTGGCAGAGAAGGTGGCTGCAGGGGAAGGAGGAATGAGGCTAGCTCCCCACAGAACAGCCCCTTTGGGGGCCGACCTGATTCCAGGATGGTGGCTGTGCTCAGAACCCCTCACCACTCCTGTTGGTGTCTCTTAATCCCCAAGGAGACAATCAGGCCACGCATCCTTCCAGGCCCACCCCTGCTGCAGCCCGGGCCATTTCCACAATCCCATTCATCCCTTGGAAGAAAGCACTGTCCCCTCCCCCAGGCTCTTCCAGGGACTCAGACTGGAGCCCTGCTGAGAGGGCAGGGCAGCGCAGGGCAGGGCAGCAGGAGTGGGCGGCATCCCTGGGGCGGGGGCAGAGTGACTACTTTGAGGATGCCACACAGTCTCACATGAGCTTCCAWCCGGCACAGTTTGCAGTCCTTTTAAACTGCCATCAGCTTCCAACCTGCCAGCCATGTCTCCAGGGAATGTCCAAACCCCTCACCCCAACAGACAAACACACCACGGCTATTGGCTATTGTGCTGGGCCTGGTGTGGGACTGACTCCTGACCCAGCCCCCTGAGTACTCATATCAGAGCCCAGGAACACAAGCACCCTGCCATCTCCTGGGTGCCCACCTGTGCTCCTACCCCAGAGCCCAAACCTGGTACCTCAGGCTAAGGGGAACTTCTGGAAGGCATTTGGACAGGACAGCCATCCCCTCCTCCTCTGAGCCAGGTATCTGATAGCAGAGCAGGGCTGGCCCCTTTAAGACAGTGCCCCCAACATACAAGCCCACAGTGGGGAGATCCAGCCCCTGGTGTCTCTCTAGAACGGTGTAATTTCCCAGCATCTCTCCTCCTTCCCTCCCCCTCCCTCCTGAGGTCCCTCTTTCCCCTGATCTGTTTTTCAGTTACATAACGTGCCTTAAGATGGCACTGTTTAAATCCATCCGGCACAGTTTGCAGTCCAAGCAGGGTCACGTGGCCCGGCTCCACTCCTAGGTGCCCCCCCACCTTTTTACAACCTTGTTTGATTTCTGCGACTTGAAGGCAGAGCTCATCTGTGCGGGGCTGTGCTTGGGCCAGCCTGAGTTGACTACCTGGGAGCTGCTGAAGTGAACAAGATGCCCAAGCTGGGGTCACTCAGAAAGGAGATAGGAGCCTGGCTCTGGGTGGGAGGGGGAACCTGGTGATCCTGAGAGAACACCGGGGGCTCAGGGCACCTGGGAGGAAATGTACCCCAGGCCCAAGTGGGCTAATGCCTCATTCTTTGCTGGTGACAGAGACCAGCAAGAGCCAGATTCTCTTAACCAGGGAGGGCTGGGCCAACCACAGCTACTGTGCAAAGTTACTGAAGATTAAACAAATCAGACTTGAAAAATTCCGGAGTGTGAGTACAGCTTGATGGGGACAGGTGCACCATGCAATATCTTCCTCTGTTCAGCCTCTTGTCCCTGGAGATGTCTCCGGCCCAGGGTACCAGCAAGGCTAGGGAACAAGCCTGGAAGATCAGAACCTGGGGAGGGGCTTCCGGAGTGGAGGAAGTCGGGGTTACAAAAGGGCTGAACTGGGCTGTGCAGGGAGTCTGTCTCACACGGTCCCTGGAGGGAGATGCGAGCAGGCAGCCTGGCCCCCCTCTTAGCCCTTACCTTTCTCCAGCTCGCTGATCCGCTGGTGCAGGGAGGTCAGGGCGCTCTCGATCTTGACCCTTTCCTCGGTGTCGTTCTTGGGCCCCCCCTTTCCTTCCTCCAATGTGTTCACCCGAGATAGCACCTGCCGCTCCAAGTCATCGATCTTGCTCTGCAGCAGATCCTTGAGGCTGTTGGTCTGGCTGGAGGAATTGAGGCGGCTGTACTGCTGCGGGGGCACAAGGGCAGGGGAAAACCACACCGTTACACGAGGAAGGGAGACCTTGCCAGAGGCCCGCGGCGCGGTCCCCTGCGGGCGACTGCGGGGGCGGCCTGGCGAGGAGCTCCAGCGAGTGGCCGCCCGCGGGTCCCCGCAGGCTCGGCGAGGCGCCGGCCCGGCAGAAGCTCGCTACCAAGACCGGAGTGGGGGGTGCCGGGCCGGGTCGGGGACGTAGTGGGGGAGGGCAGGGGGGGCACAAAACCCGGAGGGGGAACCGCGGCTCACACGGACCTCGAGGTTCTCCAGGCGGGTTTTGAGAGACTGCAAAGTTTGCCCGAGTTGGCTAAGCGTCTCCGCGGCCGGCGTCCGGGACAGGTCGCCCATGGTGTTCTTGCCCGAGCCGGGCTGCTTGCGGCCGCCGCCCGCCCTGGCCTCGCCGGGACCGGAGTCCAGTGTGCTCTGACTCTCGCAGCGGCCCAGCTTGGTGGTCAGTTCGCGGATGGTCTCCTTCTGGCTAAGGATAGTCTCCTTCTGCTGCAGCACGGTCTCGCGAAGCTGCAGCACATTGCTCCGGAGCTCCTCCGCGCCGCCAGCGGCCACGGACGCGGCGCACATGTCGGCGTCCACCGGCACCGAGGTGCAGATGAAGCGCGTCGGCCCAAAATCCTGGGCCCCACTGCCCAGGAGGCAAAGAGCGAGCAGCGCACAGGTGCGCGCGGCGCGGCGGGCCAGCATGGCTGCGGGCACCTGGAGCGCCGGACCCGTTTCGGCTCGGGTGGGGCTGGGCTCCGGCTGRGACCGGGCTCCGGCTGTCGCTCCTCGGGCGGCCCGCGCTCTGGGAGCCGAGTTCCTGGGCCGCACGCTCCACGCCGCCGCGCTCTCCGGCCCCCACTGCCGCCTGCGCTGCGGAGCTCGCGCCTTTTATGCCGCCGCGGGAGGGGCCTCGGCGCAGCCGACGTCAGCGGGGGAGGAATCCCGCTTTAATTGTCTGCGGCCCCGGCCCGCCGCGCGGCGGGGGTCGCACGAGAGCGCGGCTGGGGCTGCTTCCTCGCGCCCTCTCCCGCCCCTCCCCGCGCCGCCGCCCCCTCCCACCGCCTCCGCCGGCCCGCCCCCGCCCCGGCCAGCGCCGCTTCCCCGAAGGCTGAGAGAGCCCAGGGACGAGTGGGATATCGGGCCGCGGGCCTGGCCTCAAAGATGGGCTACATGTGGTGTCCCCCAATCTCCGACGGAACTCCGGGCGGATGAGAGACCACGACAAAGCCAGGCGACAGAACTCGGTTCTGTTGGCTCGGCTTCACTGAGCACCCGCGAAGTCCGGTTCTCTGGTGACCACCCAAGACCTCAAATCCAACATGCCGGGTGAGGTTCAGAAACCACTGAGTCTGGGGACTTCCCGCGACACAGTTCCCATCTCTCCTGCTTTTCCCCTCCCCCAGCTCCCAGGCCTTAGGGACCCAATATCGTCCTCCGTGCGGGCGGGGCGTTGGGGACTTCTCCCAAGCGGCCTTCGGGAATCCGAGTCTTTGCTACCACCTGAGCCCACCCAGTTCCGCACAGACGGCGCCCTAGAAGCTGGAGGCGCTAGCGAAGTGGACCCAGGGGAAGACCGGTCCGCACTCGCGGAGCGCCTTCCCATCCCGGAGGCCCGCGTGCGCTCTGGGTGTGTCGGCGTGTTCCTGTCTAGGTTCCCGAGTGTGTCTGTGTGTGCCTGTTGGATTTTTTTGTTCTCCGTGCGCCCCAGCTTTTCTCATTTCTTGGGCCCCACGGACAGTGGCAAGAGTCCCAGAGTGGGCAGGGGGCGTTACACCTGTGGACTCCGCACGCCGGCCCTTTCCTCACAGACACCCCAGGCAGCCATTCACAGACTCGCACCTTTTTTTCTGGACAGCGGTCCGGGGCTCAGCTCCCCGGATTCCTGTCCGAGTTCCTAAGCCCAACTGGGGACTAGGGACCAGGGCCGGAGCCACCGCTCAGACCAGCGTGGGTCAGAGCCAAAAGCTCCTCGGAAATCTACTCGTGCCAGCTCCCCTGGTATACAGAAGGAAGCAGGCAGGGGGATTCCAAATTGGGTTCGAGGTGACAGGTGGAGCCCGGGCTACAGCCACGGCCTGGTTGGCCCGATGACCGCCCCACTCCTCTCTTCCTTTACTCCCCGAAGCCTTTGATCGCCCTGCAATGGGCCATGCTGGGTCCCCACCTTGGGGCCCCCAGCCCGGAGAGACCCACAGGCAGCTCCCCCGGCAGCTCTGGGACTGGGGGTTCAATGCTTGGGTGGGAGTGGTTATGAGGGACGGCGACCTCCTCCCCTTTCCGCGGCCGTCTCCCACCCCCAAACCCCGCCGCCCCCTGCCTTCCGGATCTCAGACTTTAACCCTCCCGGAGCCGGGGTTGCGAGGCGGCGCGGTCCTTTCACGTCCCGCGCGTCCTCGGACCGCAGCTTCCGGGCGCCAGAGGGACCCCGCGGTCCACTCGCCGCTGTCCTCAGCTCCGTGCGGCGAGGCCTGGCGGGCTGCCCAGCTCCGCGGGTCTCAATACCTACAAAAGGCGCCGAAACCCGCAGCAGCTCTCGGCCGGGCGACCGCTCCAGTCTCCTCCAGGCCGAGGGAGGGACGAGCCACGCGCCTCCCCACGCGGGCGTGAGCCTGGAGCGCCTGGGCCTGGGGCGCGAGGGGCGCTGCGCTGCTTTGCGACTTCTGCCCCTAACTCCCAGCTAGAGTCCGGGGCGGGCCTCCCGACTCCCCGACTGGGTAGCCCAGGCAGTTCCCGGCCGGGCCCGCGGCGAGTGATCCGGCCCCGAGCTCGTGGGCGCGGACGCGGCCCGCCCTTCCCCTGGCTGAGGGCACCAAGCAGGCACTCCTGGCCAGGCCTTCCGTCTTGAGCCCAGGAGCGGCCGGGGACCCTGAGGTCTGTCGTCAGGAAGGCGACCTCGGCGGCTTGGCACCAGGGCACTGGGGGTCGGGTCACCCCTCCGCAGAGTATGGGATCGGGCGGCACTGGAAGTGGAGGGAGGGCCCTGGGACAGATTCCCGGGACCTCTGAGAAGTGTGAGCCTGGAGGAGAAGGTAGGGTAGCGTCCAAGGGCAGGACGCTTCGGTCCAGTCGTCCGCCATTGTGAAGCGTTCTGTCCGCCAGGAGGCGCTCTGCGAAACACCTGCGGCTCCGTGTGGGGGCTCCAGCGGAGGGCCTAAGCCTTTAAGTCCTTGTTGGCTGGACTCAAGACCCTGGGCAGGTGGAGAGTCCATCCTGTCGTGTTTAGGGTTCCTTCTACCTCCCAGTGTTCTGGAAGTATCTGGGAGCGGAGGGGGCCAGGGAGTCCAAATGAAGGACCACCCTGCCCAAAACCTTCAAAAAAAAAAAGAAAAAAAAAGCAAGGGGCCAGACTCTTCAGTGGGACGGCCAGTGCAGAGGCATGCGCACAAGTGGACACCCAGTTCTCTGTGCTTGCCCTGGGTCCCACACCCCAGATCCAGGAGGCAAGGCCAGGTGAGGGAGGGGAAGTCATGAACAGGACCTTACTCGGAGCTGGGAAGCCAGGCCGACTTGGCTGGTGCAATAGATGTAAATAATCTCAAAAGCACAGGCAATAGTAAAATGTAACAAAATAATGAGGAAGTGATGCATTTTGAGTATTAGCTTAATGTAGTTTATTTAATTATAAGTTTATATAATTTAAACGTTAAGATGGTTATTTGTCAATCAGCCTGCAAAATTCCAGAAAATGGAATAATCATCTGGTACCTGTTGGCTCAACACAACACAGGTGGGGGGGACATCTTCTCACTTGGTTCAGAGAAGGCAGACTATAGCCTCAGAGCCCTGACTGGTGGTCAGTGTGGAAAAGGCAGGCAGGCATAAGAAGACTAACCAGGGAAAATGGGTGGCATTATGAGGATTTCAGTGCCCACCCAGGGTCTTTACCCGGTGGACAGTCAGAGCAGGGGTGTGCCTAAACCCTATCATGCAGCATCTCCAAGGCCTGTCCTCCTCTAGGGCCAAGACCATGAGCAGGTCTAGAACCCCCACCTCAATCAGGGAAGAGCTCGCCTTGGGCAGGCAACAGTTGGACGCTGGGAGGGCCTGGGAGAGTGCTGGGCAGGGACACCAGTAATCCTTCCTCCTGCTTCTGAGCCCTTCTAGCATCAGGGTCCCCAATGACTTTCAGAATAGCTACCCCTGCAGGGATGAGCCTGGGAGAGGCAAGGGGAGTGGGGAACGGCCAACAGCCCCCTCCCCCTGAAAAGGAGCAGGAGTCCTCACAGATCACTGCTTTGGGACATGGTGCACCCTGGCACAGAGCTGGTGGAAGTGCCTCTGGAGGTCAGGCTGCGAGCCACCCTTAGATGTGCTGGCGTCTTGTTGAGGATGGGGGACAACCTGCAGCCAAGTAAGCAGCTGGTGTTTTCATTTTCCTGTAAGGTTTCGGTTGTGTCGGGGTCTGCTTTGTTTTTCAGCAACCCCTAGGTGCAAACTGGATTCTTTTCTGGATCTGAGAGCAGGTTTCGTTGTCTTAAGACTCCTGGTCTCTGCATTCAACAGCTCACTGTAACAGCTCATTGGGCTTTCCAGGTACCACGGGCACTTCTCTATGTGGTTAATGCCTCACACCAGGTGTGGGGGTGTTCAGGTGTCCTCGGGGCAGAGCAGAGGTGCTGCAGGCTGCCCCACTGGAGCATCACCAGGGACGCAGCCAGCTCTGTGAATCCTACCCTACTTCCTATGTGAGGAGTCCCTGGGGCCTAGGGTTGGGTGTGGGCCGGCTCTGACAGCAGCCATCCTCACAGGGCCTCTGAGTCACAGCCTCAACCCACCTGTGCCTCAGTCACTCGCCTGACAGGCCCCACCCACCAGCTCTGTGTGACAGAACACAGGACCTCCTCCCTGGCTTGCTCTCCTCTGTCCTCTCCATGGACATCCCTGTAGTCATCACCACGTCCTACAAACTAACAGCTGTCCTTTTCCAAAACCCTCTGTCCACATTCATGCATTTTAAGGCATAGACGAGCTACTGTCTTCACTTACAGATGGGGACACTGAGGAAAGCCCAATGTCATACGGGTCCAGTGAGGGTGAGGGTGTGGTGGGGGGTCAAGCCCAAGCCTGCACACTCTGTGACCACCTGTGCAGACAAGGACCTCAAAGACCCTGAGGGGTGGCAGGGCCTCAGTGCACTCACCCCCAGAGTGCAGGCAGATCAGGCTGCATCTGCAGCCTTGGGGCTCAGAGTTTCTCAGCCGTCAGCCCTGCAGCTCCACAGGGTTCCCCTGTCCATGCCCACTGTGCAAATTCAAGGGAACCTGTGGCAGCTGCAGTCTCAAGCAGCTGGCTCCCTCTCCAGATTCTCTGAACCCATCCCAGTGTTCCCACATGAGGATCTCCTTCCTTCCCAGCCCTTCCTCCTCAGAGCAGCCAGGGCAGCTGCTGGCCCAGTCTGGAAGAGGTCAAGAACTGGATGGTCTCTCTCTGCCCTGCCCTGTCCTTCCATGGATGGGACTGAGCTCTTGATCTATGACTTCTTGTTCCCAATAAAAAGGAGTTTGCAGGCAAAAAATGGGAAGGCTGGTCTTACTTTTCTCCAAGCAGGGGTTTCATGGTGCCAGGCAGGGCCTTGGGCATTTAGTATAGTGTACATATTCATAACGTTTGCTTTCAGTTGGGCAAATATTTCCAGAGCATCTGCTGAGGGGCAGGCCAGTTGCCAGGGCCAGCGGTGAATAAAACACTGGCACCCATTCCTCAGAGGCTCACTCTAGTGGGTGAGACAGATGTAAATACACCTATAACAAGATGCACAGTGCCACAGGGACAGGAGATGCCTAAACCAGTGGCAGCCAGGGCGGGGGTGGGGGTTGCAGGAGTGTCTCCCTATGAAAT